TCGTTCTCATAGTTTATGAGTACCAAATATTTCAGAAATTGTCTCTATTCTTTGTCCACTGTCAAAGTGTTGATATAATAAATGTTAGTCACGGTCGAGTTTGTTGAATGTTGGGGTTTCTCAATAGGTACTCAATGTTATGCGTAAATTTCTTATATTACTTTTAATTTACATATAAAATATATCCTTATATTTTGGTTGCATGTTATGAACATTTTCTTGTTGGTTTTTGTTGGTGTTGGTTCTGCTGGTAGTATTGAAAAGAAATGTGTGTATCAGAAGGCAAGAATTAAAACTATACCAACAAAGAATTGATCCTCGCAACTGAATCACTCATTGATCATCTTTGTTAGATAAATGCTCCCCTCAAGTCACAAATTTGTTGTTTAAATTGATTTATATCTTTTAAAAGTCATTCGAAGAATTAGATGTTTTTTTTTTATCATTTAGTGTATCATTCTCATCTTAATAACTATGAGTAAATTGTTAAACTTTAATTATATCCTAATTACATGATTTAAAATAAATTGCAAATTATATGATTTACATTTTTAATGGTTTAATTCATATGATATTTATTTTAGATAAGGTTATTTTTAGTCATGCGTGAGTTATTCAATATTTTTATAACTTATTTTTGTTTTCCATATCACTATACATTATTCGTAACTCCTTGCCCATAAAAATCAATGTTTCTATATTCTTTCATTATTTAAATTATTTAACTTAAAAAAAATTCTAATATATCATTTTTATTATATTAAATAATAATATACAATATTATATAACCATTTTTTATTATATTTTCTATTATTTTATTTTACTGAAAAACTCATTAGCACTACCAATAGATATTTATTAATTAATTTATCAACAAATTTATTATTATTATTATTATATTATTATTATTATTATTATTATTATTACTATTATTATTATACAGAGACAACTTTTTGGTTATAAGATACACAATTTTCTAATAGATTTTCCAAAAAAATATCTATTGGTAATTCCTCATGCTATTCTTGAAATTACTTTGTTTTGTAAGTGATATAAAGGTATCAACAAAACTATATCCATTAGTAATTTTTTATTGATAATTAAACATTTTCTTATGGCATAATTCTTTCAAGAAAATAATAACAAAATGAAGATTGCACTACAAAAAAAGTCTATTATATAAGGTAAAAATCCATAGGTAATGTCATTTTATTTACGAATTTTTTTCCGTAGGAAATATGGTCGTAGGTAATTTACCTACGAAATTATTATCTATTGGCAATATCATCCGTGGGTAATTATCCGTAGGTAATTACCTACGGATTGTAATCCGTAGGTAACGCACTTCGCTTGAACAAAATATTTTTATTTACTACAAGCCCTATTTACTTTTTATTATTACCTAGAGCTCCCTCCTCTTTATATTATATTTTTATTATTTATTACACTTTTAGAAGTTTGAATTATTATCAGATTAAGAGAACCCAGTTCCTTAGAGTTGGAGACTCGATACTTAAACCACTAAGTGTAATATCCTAAATTTTGCAATCAATTATATAAATAAATTTTGTAAGTTATAAATATGTACCGAATATTATGTAGAGTTATTATAAAAAAATAAAACATGATTTTTATAGTAATTTTGTCTTAAGAAAATTATAAAATAAAATCCAAGGTTAATATTGTGTCAAATAATAATTTAATAATAATTCTTAATAATAAAATTAAATAAATGAATAAATAAATATTTAGAAATTTAATACTATATAAAAAAATTATTAATAATGAATTTATTCATTTAAATATTATGTAAACTTTCTATAAAAAAAAAAATTCACGAAAAGAGAGAAATGGTAGTCGAGGAACCGTAGTTTTGGATAAAATCAGTGGAACCTTTGAACTGAGTCGGTGAAATAAGGCGGTGGAGAATAAAATTAAAGAAAATTCGAGAAGGAGTATAAGTCGGTAAGATAAGTTTATAAATAGGAAGAAATTTGAAAACTTACTTACACAAAAACATACAATTCCCGTAACTTACAAAACCAACAGAGAGGCACCAGAATTCTGAGAAAAAGAATTCGAGAGAAAGGAGGAAAGGGGAGCATAAGAAATTAAGAGAATAATAAGATTTTGAAGGAGCCAGGTATGGGTTAGACGTTTAGTTTTATTCATACGAATGTCCGTAATTGGAGATTACTTGTTCATCAATTGCAAAGTTTTAAATATTATTGAAATTCTTTCAATTAAGGATGAATTATATAATAAAATTGTTGTTTTTAACTTAAATTGAACATGTTTATGGTTTAATTTTGATTTGGAATTAATTTGAGTGATTGAAACTGAGAAATTTGAAACCTGGATTTCGAAAATGGCGAACGGGATGAAAATCTGCAAAATTCGCTCAAGCAAAAAATATATCGCTTGAGCGAGGACACCTGGAAAATTTGGGATTCTCGGGTTCTTTATCGCTCAAGCGAAAATTACATCGCTTGAGCGACTAAGGGTCATGTCTCGCTCAAGCGACCAGCGTACTCGCTTGAGCGACGAAAGCTTCAAACAAAGGGGACTCTCGGGTCATGCCTCGCTCAAGCGACCGATGTACTCGCTTGAGCGACGAAAGCTTCAAACAAAGGGGACTCTCGGGTCATGCCTCGCTCAAGCGACCGATGTACTCGCTTGAGCGACGAAGCCTTCAAACAAAAGGGGACTCTTGGGTTCCATCTCGCTCAAGCGACCGGTATACTCGCTTGAGCGAGCGAAGGAAGAAGAAAGGACTAGGTGGGAATTTTTGCAAAAGATCAAGGGTAAAATAGTCATTTCACATATTAGGGACATAAATGAAATTTTGAAAAAGGTTAAGGGTATAATCGAGATAAAGTCAAACAGTATATTACCCCCTCTTTATTTACTAGGAAAACGACTCAATAAATGTTAGAATTTGAGGATAGTGCCTTCATCAAAGTTATAGATTATTATCTTATCTTTCCAACACAATTGGAATCATCTTAAAATGAGGTCTAGAACTCAAGATATGGACAAAACACTGAACCCTATGAAATAAATTATTAATAAAAATTGTCTTACTTAAAACAACTATGAATTGTAATTAAAATTTTGAATATATGAAGGATATGTTTTTAAGTATTTAATTGATGATAGATTGTTTTGTTTCATACGAGACATAAACATAGTGCATGAAATGTTTTCTCGGAAGTCATAGAAAAGTTCTTACAGAAAAGTATTTGGAAATTTCTCTTAAGTTGCTACCAAGGACGGTTGGTAGGAATAATGATGTGCAAAACAGAATTTTTAAATTTTTCTATGAGTCAATTTACCATCAAGAGTATCTGGTAGTGAAATATGACTATGAAAATGGCTGGCCAAATGAGACAGAGAATAAATTATTAAAAATTGAGCTACCAGAATCTCTGATAGTAAATGGGGGAGTAGAATAGGTAAGACAGGACCTTTGGTCTATGGGGATGGACCTCTGGTCTAGGGAGTGTTTGGGCATGGGCAATTCCATAAGTGGCCAGTCTTTATTTGATTCCGTGTCGTGGTAGCCTGCCGGTGCACCGACACTCGACTCACTGTCTACTTGTTCGCGTTTAATGGGACATTGCCGAATCACCGGACGGGGTGATGTTAAGCTCGGTTCCACTAAACACTCAAATGAGTCTCCATGGAGCACCGAGTCAAAAATAAAATTTTTATTTTGAGTCAAAAGCATGATTTTAAAGTTTTACGTTTGGAGTCACATGTGCATATCATAAACATATTGCATGATAAAATTGTAGATTATTCATGATTTGTACTATATTCTCTATTATGATTCCATGATTTATTTATTTGTTTCTCATAATTAATTTTTAAATTAAATTATATATGGTTGTATATTTATTAGAAGGGATGTTTTATTGGTTGATTTTATCGTATAAATATTTGCTTTATTTGTTGTGGATAAAATTAAATGTCTAACCCCATAAATATTTCAATCCCGGATGTTGGTGACGTATGATGCAGGAATACATAATCCAAGAGATAGATGTCGGATGCAAAAATCCGAGCTTAGGTTGGGAATTGTATAACATATAAGTATAACTTTATGACTTGTAATATTTTGAAAACTTTGTACTAGAACTTGTTGCTTGAATTAATATAAAACTTTACCTAAATTAATTGTTCACTTGGTATCTTTTCTATTAACCTTCTATGAATATTGAAAATATTACTAACTTAAATAATAAATTAGGATTAATAAATGTAATCAGTAAGGGGGTTACACTAAGCTATTAGGATATTCTAATAATAACTTACAATAATAAATTATATTTATATTTATCCATGTAAATATATAAATATAAAATATATAAATACAAATATATTTATATTTTGATATATATATATTTATATATTTACATGGATATACATTTATTTATAAAAAAATATAACTTATTTGTAAGTTATTATTTAAAAGTCTTAGTAGTTTAGTGGTTAGAGTATTGGTCTCCAACTCTAAAGTAATGAGTTCGAATCCTGTCAATTTATCTACAGAATTACCCACAGATGGTATTACCTATGGACAATATCCGTAGATAATAGACTCTATTTTTTTGTAATGTTGATGATGTTTGTCTAGAGATCAAGTTATAATTAAAGTCTCAGCTGATGAATCAATAATTGAGTCAAAATGGAATAAAATATTTTTACATCAATTTTTGTAAGGAACAAATTAATGTTATAACTAATATTTTTTAAAACTAAATCGATTATTGAATTGAATAAGACATGAGTTCAAAATTTAAAGGTTCAATTGAAATTTAACCCAGGTCAACCGCATTTAATAAAAAAACTTATAAATAACAAGTATTAAATCTACTTTGTGTATTGTTTTGCAGCATGGCTCCAAAGAAATCCACCCACACAATCCCAACTTCCAAGAAGAGGAAGGGAGCAACTTCCTCTTCTAGATCTAAACCAATCCATACAGAACAATTGAAATGGAAGAAGAGGGACCATTGAGTCGCTTAGATTGCTACAAGTTTCTAAATAGAGCCAAGATATGAAGAGTTGAAATCCCAAAATTTTCTTTGTGAAAGGAGAGTGGAACACTAGGCCAAGAGAGTACGAGGACTTTCAAGAAGTAATTCAATGACTACGCTGGGGTATCTTAGCAGCACCACCTGTTAAGTTTAATGAAGACATTGTCCGGGAGTTCTATGCCAACACCTATCCGCATGTGAAGTCAAACCCTGAAAGAATGTGTTGGGTGAGAGGGCACCATATTAGATATGACAAGGATACTATTAACACATACCATGGAAATCCCTACGCATCTAATGAGAGGAACGAGTATTGACGCCTGACATGACCTCTTAGCGGCCTGAGCCTAAACAACATTGCTAGGGAACTGTGTGTGCTTGGGCACACCTATGAAGTCAGAGTCACCGAAAAACCTATGCATATTCCGTTCAAGTATGAAGACATTGGCTTAGACTTGGGTAAATTTTCTCTTGGCCAATGTAACGTCCAACACTCATGTCTTGAATGTCAACATAGACAATGTTACACTCATTTATTTATTGCCTTATGCATGGGTTGGCAATGGATATAGGCAACTTTATTTTTGACGAGACACAAATTGTTGTTGTCCTCTCCTTCTTCCTACGGTGTCACAAAGCCATTGGGTTTTCCTGGTCTTATCATAGAATTGTGCAAAACTCATGGGGTGTAGATACCCACCCATCCATGGAGTATGAAACGGGTTTATTATTTGTTATATCAGTTTAATAAATCCCTGGTCTGTAGGGATATTTCCTATTTTGTAGGCACAACGTGTGCAGTCTGTTATGCATTATTTGTTTTTGTTTTGGCTATTTAATAGCCAGAGTTTAATGAAATAGGCATCGAGTTCCTGCACCAATATATTCTATATTCTATTTACTTTCAAACTGGTATCAGAGCTCTACGGGGCCTGATACACAAGCTGCAGCTTTTGTGAGAACGTGTGAGAACGATAAGATCTAACCATACAAAGTAAAAAATTCTCCACCAAAATTCCCCACTTTGATGGTCAGCACTATGACCATTGGAGTGAATTAATGGAGAATCTCCTACGTGCCAAGGGGCTTTGGGATATTGTCAAATTTGGTGTTGAAAAACCAGATAAGAGTGCTGATCTAACTGACGAATAGTTGGAACAATTGGAGAACGCTAGGCTCGATGATCATAAGGTAAAACATTACCTTTTTCGAGCTATTGACCGGACTGTCTTTGAGCAAATTTTAGACAGAAGCACGTCGAAGATTGTGTGGGATTCTTTAAAGCGCAAGTTTGGAGGTAATGCACGAGTTAAGAAATCCTTGCTCAACGCATTAAGACGGGAGTTTGAGGTGCTTGAAATGATTGACACCGAAACCATCACAGAATACTTTGTTCGGGTAATGACAGTGGCAAATAAGATGCGCAGCAACGGTGAAACTATGCCTGACTCCAAGGTGGTTGAAAAAATACTCCGCACTTTGACAGATCGTTTCACTTATGTAGTAGTTTCTATTGAAGAATCACACGACACAGAGACCATGTCTGCTGATGAACTACAAAGCACTTTGGTGGTTCATGAGCAAAAATTCAGAAGAATGAACCGACATGACGAGCAGGTACTAACATCAGAAAATAGTCGCAATGGAGGACGAGGCAGAGGGAGAGTGCCCAACCGAGGTCGTGGACGTGGTAGAGGAAGACAAGCTTTCTCTAAGGCCACCGTGGAGTGTTTAAAGTGCCACAAATTGGGTCATTTCCAATATGAATGCCCCCAATGGAACAAGGAAGCAAATTATGCCGAACTAGGTGACACTGAAGAGTTGGTCCTGATGGCCACCATCGATGAGCAAATCAACAAGGAGGTTGCATGGTTCTTGGATTCCGGGTGTTCGAATCACATGTGTGGTGATAAGAATGCTTTCATGGAATTGGTTAATGAAGCCAAACATTTTGTCAAATGTGGCAATAACTCTCGAATGATAGTTGTTGGCACAGGAAGTGTCAGATTAACTTTTAATGGTACTGCTTTTCTGATACGAAATGTCTACTATGTCCCTGAACTTCACAAAAATTTGTTAAGTATTGGGCAGCTGCAGGAACGAGGACTTTCCATTCTCATACAAAATGGAAAATGTAGTATTTATCACCAATCCAAAGGTCTGATTGTTCAAACAACCATGACCTCAAATCGCATGTTCATTCTATTTGATGAAGGTTGCACCACACCATCTTCCATTGATGATTGCCTGCATACTACTACTGATACCACTAACCTCTGGCATCAAAGGTTTGGACATCTACACTACAAAGGCTTGAAGACCCTACAAACACATAATATGGTGCTTGGTCTACCCACACTTGACTCCACGGGTATTGTATGTTCTGATTGTTTCACTGGCAAACAACATCGCACTTCGATTCCTAAAACAAGCAAATGGCATGCAAGCACCATCTTAGAGCTCATACATGCAGACATCTGTGGACCCATAGAACCCATCTCTAATAGTGGAAAGAGGTATTTCTTCAGCCTTATTGATGACTATAGCCGTAAGGGTTGGGTGTATTTACTGTCTAAGAAATCTGAAGCCTTGGACTATTTCAAGTTATATAAAAACATGGTTGAAAAGGAGACGGGGGCACTCATCAAGTGTCTCCGAACAGATAGAGGGGGGGAGTTTAATTCCCTTGCTTATAGATCATTTTGTGATGAAAATGGTATCAAACGGCAGCTTACCTCAGCGTACACGCCACAACAAAACGGAGTAGCGGAACGCAAAAATAGAATCGTTATGAATATGGTACGATGTATGTTGTCCGCAAGGAGGGTTCCTAAAAATTTTTGGCCTAAAGCAGTTAATTGGGCATTCTATTTACTGAATCGTTGTCCCACACATGCGGTAAAATATGTCACACCACAAGAAGCTTGGAGTGGGATCAAACCTTCTATCAAACACCTTCGGGTTTGGGGATGCCTAGCTCACGTTCACATACCAGATGCAAAACGAGGTAAACTTGATGATAAAAGTTTCCCTTGTATCATGCTAGGTGTTAGTGATGAATCCAAAGGTTACCGCTTATTTGATCCCAAAGTCAAAAGAATTGTGGTTAGCAAAGATGTCCTATTTGAAGAAGAAAAAGGATGGGATTGGGGTACAAATTATAAAGAGCAACTTGAAACTGAATTGATGTGGAGTGATGATGAACTCCATAGTGACGACGGTGAACAACAACAACACAATGATGGAATTCAACTTGAAGACAACACACTTGAAGACAACACAAAACTTGAAGAAGTTGGTGAAACCAGTGCAGTTCCAAGAAGAGAGCGACTACAACCAACTTGGATGCAAGATTATGTCAGTGGCGCAGGTTTAAGTGAAGAAGAAGAAGGAGAAGAGGCAACCGCCTACATGGTCCAAAATGTCATCAATGATGATCCGGTTCAGTTTGAAGAAGCAATCAAATATGAAAAATGGAGGAAAGCCATGGACAGTGAAATGCAATCAATTGAAAAGAATCACACTTGGGAGCTAACGGATCTACCGGTTGGAGCAAGAACAATTGGAGTGAAGTGGATTTACAAAACAAAGCTAAATGAAATGGGAGAAGTTGATAAATACAAAGCAAGGTTAGTAGTCAAAGGCTATTCACAACAACATGGAATTGATTTCTCTGAAGTATTTGCACCGGTTGCATGGATGGACACAGTAAGATTGATTGTGGCTCTTGCTGCATGCAAAGGGTGGGACATCTTTCAACTAGATGTTAAATCTGCCTTCTTGTATGGAGAGTTGAATGAAGAGGTTTATGTAGATCAACCAAAGGGATATGTGAAAAGGGGAAGGGAGCACATGGTTTACAAACTACACAAAGCTTTGTACGGTCTAAAACAAGCACCAAGAGCTTGGTTTAGCCGTATAGAAGCACACTTCTTGCAGAATGGCTTTCAAAAATGCCCGAATGAGCAAACCTTATTTATCAAAAAGGGCGTTGAGAAGAATTTTTTAATTGTCAGCATCTACGTTGATGACTTGATTTATACCGGTAATGATGTGAGTATGATGACTAATTTTAAGAAGTGTATGACACATGCTTTTGATATGACAGATTTAGGGAAGATGAGGTTTTTTCTTGGAATTGAAGTCTTACAAAAACCAGAAGGAATCTTTTTGTGCCAGCAAAAATATGCCAATGACATCCTGAAAAGGTTTGCAATGTTTGAAAGCAAACCTGTGAAAAGTCCAATTGTCTCAGGCAGCAAGGTTAACAAAGATGTTAACGGTATGCTTGTGGATGATATCAACTTTAAACAAATTGTGGGTAGCTTAATGTACCTAACGGCTACAAGACCAGATATTCTGTTCAGTGTAAGCTTAATTAGCAGGTACATGTCCAGACCAACTGAATTACATCTGCAAGCAGCAAAAAGAATCTTGCGCTACCTAAAAGGGACTACCAGCTATGGAATATTCTATAGGAAAGGAGAGGAGGCAAATCTACTTGCTTTCACAGATTCTGATTATGCAGGTGATGAGGATGACTCAAAGAGTACATCTGGATATGTATTCTTATTTAGTTCAGGAGTTGTATCATGGATGTCAAAGAAGCAACCAATTGTTACTCTTTCAAGCACAGAGGCAGAATTTGTGGTTGCTGCCGGTTGTGCCTGCCAAGCTATATGGATGAAAAGGGTATTGAGATTTTTAACTAATTCTCAAAACAGCACCAGAATTATGTGTGATAATAGTTCAACCATTAAACTTTCAAAAAATCCTGTTATGCATGGAAGAAGCAAGCATATTAGAGTGCAGTTCCATTTCTTGCGGGATCTAGTGAAAGACAAAGAAGTTGAGATGGTGTACTGTGAAAGTCAGGAACAAGTTGCAGACCTAATGACTAAAGCCTTGAAATTTGAGGCTTTTGAAAAGCATAGGAAGAATATGGGAATGATTGATCTTGCTGAAATAAACTAACTGCATATTGCAGTTAGTTTAAAGGAGGGAATGAAACGGGTTTATTATTTGTTATATCAGTTTAATAAATCCCTGGTCTGTAGGGATATTTCCTATTTTGTAGGCACAACATGTGCAGTCTGTTATGCATTATTTGTTTTTGTTTTGGCTATTTAATAGCCTGAGTTTAATGAAATAGGCATCGAGTTCCTGCACCAATATATTATATATTCTATTTACTTTCAGAGTCTACGCCCCCTATTAATGCTTCATATGTGGAGACCCATTACCATAACCGTCTTGATCAACACAAACGCTAGTCTTGACCATTGATTCTGGGGAGAATAAATAATATATTATTAAAAAATAATAAATAAATATAAAATGGTGAAAGAAGATGAAATGGTGAGAGGATCAAATTGTAAATGTATAAGTAAATATATAAAATGATCATTAAATTTGGGGGGACAAAATCATAAATTATATGAGAGTTACAAACCTGAAGAAAGGCTGAAAAGATAAAATTATAAATATACAAGTAAATATATTATAGTTTGGGGGTTAAAATCATAAATTACATGGGAGTTACAAAATTTTAGTGGGGGAAGGGTCATGTCCCCCTCAGTTCCCAAGAAGATCCACCACTGGCTAACCTGTAGACCTCGAGCACCACCACGACCCCAACTCACTACCACAACTTATTACTCTACTATGCAGGACTTCATGACCACATATTTCAATCATTTACATCAATAGATGGAAACCCACCACAAGGTTCTTTGAATGACTCGTTCTACATAATGAGTATCCATCAGCACTAGCACCCGTCAGAGTAGTTCTCTTGAATCATACCTGACCAATTCTAGCATATAGTTGCTTGGCCTAGAGATAGTCCTATTTTCCTTGGGGGAGTGGAGTTGTTGGTGCTGCAAAAGGAATCAATGGAGAATATGAAGAATTTTTTGACAGAAATTTTCAGCAGCATGAAAGGGAGGCTGAAGAAGAAGAATCTGATGAGAATGATGATGTATCGGAGGATGATGAGGAGGAAGAAGTTGGAGAAGACTGAAGCTCTCCAAAGACAATTGAGTGACATAATTTTACAGTTTAATTTTCAGTCTATTTACTTTGCTTTTGTTTTAATCTTTTAGTTGTGTAATATATTTTCTTAGTTATATTCGAAACTTTTAATTATATTTAGTAATGTTAAGTGTATATGGCATTTTAGTTCTACAAACTATAAATTGTAGATATTTTAAGAACTAGGAGTTAAGGATCCTTTCGAGCTAAGCTGACAAATTTTAAATCTCTGGAATGTCTTTTCAAATTTTGTTTAGCCACCTCTTTTGTGTACAAACTTTTTGGGACTAGATGAAAATATTTGTTTGGATAGCAACTAGCATTGGTTAGAAAAAGAAGGAATGCCAAATGTGATTTCAACAGTTCAAAAACCTAGTTTTGAAAGTTAGGAAATTGGTAGAAAAATGGCATCCTTTATTTTCAACAAAAATAGGATATTTTTGCATCAAGTTGCACAAAGGTGATAGAGTTCTAATCGGCCTACCAAACCAAGGTAGTGAAACCAAAGAAAAGTGATTAAGAATTAAACACCTAATTTAGGGGAGAGCGGAGAGAATTTTGTTGTGTTTGCAGTTGTTGTTGGCAACCACATAAAATCACCCTGCACTTAAAAGGCCTATTGAAAATCAACCCTCCATCACGTCAGCGGAGAGAGCATTAGCCAGACGGCCATCCGTCCTTACATTTTTTTGCCTATAAATTTAGGCGCCCCAAATGGTTTTGCAGCAACTGGTTTTGTGTGAATTTTTGTTGTCATTAAACACAAAAAACATGGAAAGAATCAAGGCAATTTTGTGTAATCAAATTGAACTTAGAGTTAAAAAGTCAACCCTTACATAAAAAACCAAAACTTGTTGTTGGCAACCACATAAAATCACCCTGCAATTAAAAGGCCTATTGAAAATCAACCCTCCATCACATCAACAGAGAGAGCATTAGGTGTGGGATGAATACAAACTGTTAATTGAGTGTGCAAATTAAATGATAGATATGAAGGAAATCTTCTCTCACTTAAATGAAAAAAAGAAGAAGAAATCACTGTTTTGTCACACATGGCAATTTGTAGACGTAGGCAGTCAAGACAGTAAGAGACTGAGGGAAAAAAAGGCAGAAAGGAAAAATATTTGGAGATAATACACAGGATGCTCTCCCTTTTGATGAACTAGAAAAAAAAAATTCTTGATAGCTTAGCCGCATCACAACTTTTCAAAGACCTTAGTGATCCATGCTAATTATGTGTACATGATTTGATTGAAAATGAAATACAAAACTAAGTTGCACATGCCAACAAAGATCAATGAGTGAAATACACACTTAGAGAGTACATTGTCTTAGAATGTGAGGAATCTACCTTCGAATAGGGACAACATGGTTTTCTCCTATCTTATTGTGTGATAAAATGCAATTGTATCCTTTTTTTTTTAAAAAAGGGATGTTATTTATTGCTGATAACTAACAACCATGTGAAGTTAGTTGAACCAGGATACAATAGAGTCTCTACATCACTACACATATCTTTATCCACATGCGCTTGAACAAAAGATTCTACTCCAATATAACGAATCATGTCCACCAATCAATTATCCATGGTTGAGTAAACTAAATCATCATATCTATTTACATATGACAAATCTAATAATTCACCGTGTCATGTCTAAATTGTGTAATATTTAAGAAAATTGTCACTTAAAAGATGCTCAATAATTTCCTTAACATTTAATAATCTTCCATTAAGACAATTAACACATAGATACCTAAATCTTCCACTAATAGTTGAAGTGTTCTCTATTGTACAAATAATAAAGACTCTTCCAATCTTTTCTCATACTCATAAGTTATGCGGACACAATTAATCCAACTTTTGTCCATTTCTAGATTTTTTAATGCACATAACTATATAATTCAGTGGACGATGCAATTTGTAATCCCTGAACTCAACACAAATTTGTTCCAAAAAATTAAATATCATTATCAATCATCATAATGTGAACCGTAAATCAATTCATACATTAATCAAGACAGGACAATTACTTATTAGAGAGAAAAAATGAGCTCTCATGACCACCATGGACTACACTGCTCAGGACCAACACTAGAGGGAGGGAGCATGATGAGAGTGATAAGTGTCAAATGTTCATGTTTTTATACTTAGTTATGACACTTATCTCATGTAATTCTAAAGAGATCGGTAGTAAAAACTCTCAGTAACATCTAATTGTCTATATTTTAGAGCTGAAGAGTAAATAACAAACTAATGCAAATCTTTGTCAAAATGCAGGTGATAATCAGGAGATAGCAACACTAGACATAAAACGCTAAGTGGATTTTCATCCGTTGAATGGAATTGAGGCAGAGAGGACCATATCCAAGGCAACAAAAAGCGATGAGCGGATGGATTAAAATGTTGTGAGATTCCTTGGATATAAATAGAAGAACGAAAAAGAAAAAAGAGAGACTGAAAGAAAAAGAGAGCATGATTTCAAGAACTAGGGTCTAGGAACAGAGGTTGGCTGGATTCGAGCTCTTCTTCTTATACATTTATAATTTCTCTCATCATGTGTTGTTAATTTCTCTTTTGTTGAATTGGATGTAATTATTTAACTCTTTTGTAACTCTTGCTATATATATATATATATATTTATTTTTTCTCCCGTTCTTGATTTTGTTCTATTTTAATGCTTGGATTTAGAGGAATTTAACTTCATGATTATAGGAATAGATTTTCATTGGAAAATGATTTCTGCTTTTGATCTTATCTAGATCAATCTGTAACCTTAACTGTTGGGAAAAAAAGTTGAGATTATTTAATGAATGCAAGAATTTTAACTAGTTTATCAATGAATTGATTGGTTGTTTAGGATTCTTAGAACTCTATTATTAAGGAATTAATTTGGACTGAATATTTTAGACTTTCAACTGAGTATGGAATTCATGCATATATAGATATTAGGTTGCAAATTTGTTATCCAGGGAAATCCAATTCAGTAGTTTATTTCATTGCATTTTATGTGTTAATAAGTTTTATCTCAATCACTTAAATCTTATAATTGTTTTCTAAAGTTCATTGTTTTAATTCAATGAAAATTGGAATAATTTGATATATGCAAAGTCCCTGAGGATACGAATTTTTTTTTATAGTTGACTTGGTCCACTTGTTGAGGGAAGAATCTAATAGAAAGTAAGAGAGGCACCAAGACGAAGAGAGACACAAAATGGGAGAGATGTAGGGAGCGAGAGGGAGATGTAACAAGCGATGCAAGAAGCAAGTGGAGCAGCGACCGAGAGGGAGAGACTCATATAGGGAGGTGGCAAACTAAGGGAGGAGGAAGGAGGAGCGCAACCAATTGAAAGGAGAGCCTTGTGGAGGGATGAGGAAGGAAGATTCGGCAAAAATAAGAGAAGAAGGTGAGCGAGAATATGTATAAGAAGATACAACGACGATTATTAATAATAAGCGTCATCATAGAGCACATATAACGATGGTTGATAAACACCCATTGTCAAATAGATTGTGTCGCCAACATTCACCGATAGGTGTTTAATAATAATCATTATTGTATGTTTTATATGACAATGGTTATTAAATAATCATCGTTATATAATTGGTAGTATTTTCAAAAATATCATCACGACACCTTTGATGATGGCTCGAAAGGTGTCTTCGTTTCCCCATTCTGCACTAGTGTCAAAATCTTAAGACATTCGATAATAGATATTTCTCATCACTTATATTATAAGTTACTTAATTTCATCATTTATATATAATGTCAAACTTTAACTCATACTTGAATTCTCAACAATCTCTTTCTCAAGTGTGCTTCTCTTCTACAATGGTACACCTCCCCTTTTAGCAAAAGTATTTATTAATTATGAGTATCAAGTAGTGATCTTACTGTCATTCATCATAATGCTAGCTTGTCTAAAATATTTATAAGGAAGATTTTTGATGCAAGAATTTATAATTTAGGATTTTTTACCTATTCTAATTATACTCCGTGGCAAAGTTATTGGGTAGCCTATGGATATCATGGTCACCCCAAATTTTTCATTTTCTTTGTTAAAATTATATATATCAAAATATTTTAAAAAAATTACTTTTAAAAAATAAATTGGTCCTCTCACATTTTATTTCTTCCTCCATCTCTAATCGTATTCAACCGAGTGAATAACAGGAAGGACCATCGATTTTAATACTAATATTAAATATTTTTTGAACGAAGTCATATTATCTTATATAATTGACTTGTATCTCATTTACCATAATTTTTCTATATTTAGCCCTCATAAATATCAATTAATTTCCAATAAAAATAGTTAAAATCTATTTATAAATGCAAAAACTACTTTCTATCTCCTTTATTTGATATCCGATCTTACATGTCAAAGGTGTCATATAAGACACACATCTTCCATACATATTTATCCTGATATATTATACGTGACACACACTACTTGTCATAATATCTAATTATCAAATTCTTGATAAGCTTTGTCCACATGCTCAGGTAGGTGTGTAATAGATCTTATGAGGATTGATGGTACAATATGTTAGACAAATGACATCTAAAGGGGGTGAATAGATGTACAAATTAAAATAGATGTCAGATTAAAAATTTATTTGTGAGTCAATAATTTGTTAAAGAGAAAGCAATAATATAATCAGGAAAAGAGAAAGAGATAAGGGAGAGAGAAGAGCACACAGAGATTTATACTGGTTCGGGTATAACCAACCCTACATCCAGTTCCCAGTCAACTCTTAACACAAGAGTGACTCCCCATTCACTATCTTTTAAATTCAGTTTACAAATTACAATCAACTCAGCAGAAGAACCAATAAAAAGTAAACTAATTAAAAAGACAATCACCTCCTTAGAAACCCACTAAGGATGAACACCTCCCTAAAATCCCACTAGGGATGAACACCTCCTCTGAACAAATCAAAGGATGAAAACACCTCCTTAGAATCCCACTAAGGATGAACACCTCCCT